GCTTCGAGGGTGGGAAGACCAGGGTGAGAGTGGGACAAAATGGCGGGGCTGGCCACACTGCCGATGCCATCTGTGCTAACACTAGGAACTGGGCGGGACACAACCGGGTGTGAGGGCATGGGAGAGAGGTTAGAGGAAAGACCCAGAGCGGCATGGCCATTGCCACCCTGGTAAGGGTAGAGGGACGGTAGGGGGGTGTCAGGGAGACGGCAGCAGCCCTGTGCCCGGGGGAAATGTCCACCCGCTGACTGACTCTCAGATAGGGAAGAGGGTCTAGGGACACTTGGAGAGGTTGACGGAGTTGGGGGGTTCAACTGGGGACCCAAAACTCCCTCTTCTTTTTTTCCCTCTTTTTCCAATGAGAAAATAATATTTTGAAACACAGGAAAAAGTTTTGCAACAGAAAAATCTCCCTTAGCTTGAACTGTATATAACTTTCTTCCCACATTATCCCCAAAAATTCCCGATTTAGCAGAATCCGAATTAATCTTAAAATGTTTAAAAACCCAATAAATAAATATCTTTAAACCCCCTTTAGAAAACTTAAAATTTCCCACTTTTAGGGTGCTTACAACTTGGATGTAAAAGTCCCTCTCAGGTGGGGTCAGCCTCGCTGCGGAGGACTGATTTCTCATCCTTTTTCACTCGCCTCCCAGCAGTAAAACAGCAAAGAAAAGGGAAATAGCCTGAAAAAACCCTTCACGGGATCGACTTACAATTTCTCTTCAGCAGATGCAGGCAGGCGAACAAAAAGCTGCTGGGCGGGTGGTCACCTGGGCGGCTGGTCTTCAGGGGCTCTTCCTTGCCCCAGATGGTCAGCGAGGGTCCCGGTCACAGCCTTTTGGATAGCCTCTTGCTAAAACGCAAGGAAGCTTCCTCGAGGAGCGGCGGTTCGAGCGGCGGCGCGCATCGCAGTTAAAGCTGAAGGTGGACGCTTCCTTCAGGGCGTCTTCGAATGCCCCGTAGTCAGGCACCAGTTGTCGCGGTGACAGAAAGGCCGAAGTGCCGCGACTTCTCTGGAGAAGCAGCCCTGAAAAGGGCTGGGCCAAAGCACGTGTGTGCAGCTTCGGGCAGGCAAGTGATTCCAGCTCGGCTCAGCGTCGGCGGGCAAGCGACATGGGAAGAAGGGACGAGAAAGCTGGTCTAGCGTTCCGCCAAGTACAAACCTTTATTCAGGCAGAGCTTTGGCGAAGGGAGCCAGCAACAGCTAATCTCCCGAACAGGGGAAAACCCGGGATATTTATAGGGGAGGAGAGGGGCGGGGCGGGGAGCCCGAGATACATGTATCGGGGTGGGATGGCAGGGGGGAACACCAATGAAGCACAACAGTTTAGCATAACTAACTCAAAGATCCCTGGGAGCAATATATGGTCTCCCTGAGTGAAAGATGTCTTGCCTCCAGGGGAGACCCAGGATCGCAGAGCCAGCGGGTTCCCCGGCCCCCACATCAGGCCATACTTAACTCCTTGCACAGCAATGCTCAGGGCTCTCTTGGACCTGATCCCTTCCAGCATGGACCCCTCGTTTCCCTCACCTAATAAAACCATTGCTGGGAACTATCCAGGAGAGACTCCTCTGCCTTTTTGTCTCCATACCTGACGCCGTGCGCCACAGAGCTTGGGGTGGCCCAAGACTCTGGAGGTTTCACTAGGGAAAAAGCCTACTCCCCAGTGGATTCCCCACTCCTGGTGTTTGCCTGCGCCGGAGTGCAAAAACCAACATGGAGCCAACCAGAGCTCTGATGAAGTGCAGCATCAGCTGGCGCCCAACATGGTCTCACAGGAGACCTTACAGAGGAGTCAGACGACCTGTTGAAGATCATCAGTTAACTCTTTGGGTGGCAGCTACTTCGGTTGCAGCAGGCCGACTTTTGTCTGGCAGCGCTCCCGAGGAGAGAGGCCGCAACCCTCGTCCACACTGAGGATAGCCTCTGGGTGGAGGACGTGTCCCACAGCACCTTCGTCTGGAACCTGGTGTGGTGAGTTTCCCCAGGGAGGGGAAGGTGTGTGTTAGGAGAAATACCAATTGGGGTGGTATTCCCTCTTTTTAGGATCCAGACCCTTATCTTTCTGTTCCTTTCCGTTCTTATTTTGCTACGGGGTGCGGCAAGGGGTGTTGAGTCGACGTGCTAACACCAAAAAAAAAAAATAGACATAGAAATTGTCGACTCAGCAAAGACGACATTATCTCCAAATTGTGGGAGTCCTTGAGGGGGGAGGGAAAAGGTTTTCTAAGAGTTTAGTTAAGAGTCTGATTAAGTGGCTGTTTTTACATTACCCCCAGGTGTCCCCTGAAAATTTGAGCTCTGTTGTTTTCTGGAATGCTGTTGGGGCAAAGTTAACATTTTTAGCTAATCAGGAGGATAAAACATCATTTAAATTAATTCCTCTTTTTGTCCTGATTTGATGTGCTTTAGTTGGAAAAGGGAGGGGTGGAGGAACAGCAATCTCAATTATCCCCAGTTACCCTACCCCACAATCCTTCTTCCTCTGTCCCTATGCTGGGAGAGACGTGCGGGGCATCCCGTGTTACGCAGGGCACCAGTGATGGCTTAAGTCTCCCTGGCCCTCCATGTCTCCCTCAGAACCCTAGCCCTTTTAGCTCTGGCCAAGCTGACAGGGTCTCTATCCATTCCCTTTCTGCCCCAGTTGAAAATCCCGAAGTTAATGATGTTAAAAGTTTCCAGTTTGTGCCCCAGACCCCTTGTTCTCCTTGAGTCCCTCATCCCTCCCCTGCTCCCCAACATGGCTCCCAGAGGGCACAAAATGGCAGAGATTGCATGGTCGGGCACCTCCCTTGTGCTTCTCCTTCCCAGAATCCCTTCCTCTCCCCATCCTCCAACCCCTTCTGGTCCCCTGACCCCTCCATTTGTTCTCCTTGGAAGTCTCCTCCTCCTCGTCTGGGGCATGCCCTACCATCTTCCCACCCCCAGGTCTTACCTGTTCCTGCTGTGGCTCCTCCCAAGTCTCCTCCCACTCCGCTGGCCCTCCTGAGGCACCGCCCCTTCCGGCTTCTGGTTCCCACGCCCCTCCTTCCGGTTCCCACACCCCTCCTTCCAGTTCCCACACTCTGGAAACCGGAAGTGTTAGGCCTGGAAACCAGAACACGGAATGGGAAGCCATTCCCTTCATCACACCAGTTAGCTACCATGGTAGGGGAGAGAGAACCCGGGAATGGGAAACCTTCTCCTACCAGAATAGGAAAGAATTGTGCAAAGCTCAGAAAGAGTTTGGGAGAAGGAGTGAATATTTTAAGGGCCTATTGAGGGCTACCTTCCACTCAAATGACTTGGTTCTCTCCGACCTAAAAGTTGTTTTCCTGCCTCCTTTCCTCAGCTGAGTTTAAGCTGTGGAAACAGGGGTGGAAGAGGTCATTGGAAGCCATGCTTCCTGAGCTTTGGCGCAATGAAGAAACTGCAGTTGACACAGATGAGTATCTCCTCACTTTAGAACATCTGTGTGGCGAAGGAGATTGGGTAAAGCCTCAAGAGCAGGCGTGGGGAATACCTAAGCCTGTTCTTATTAAAATCGCAGAAGCAGCTGAAAAGGCATTTAACCAGCTACCAGAGGAAGAACCCCAGGTCAGTTTCCTGTCAATAAAACAATTCTCTAATGAACCTTTTGTCAAGTTTATTGATAGGCTGCAGGCACAGGTTGAGAGGCAGATCAAGAAAGCTGAACTACAGGAGGACATTCTGTTGGAAGCGGCAAAAAGTAACACAAATGAAGTGTGCCGCCAGGTCATCCTCAGTCTGCCTCTCCACCCACCTCCCACCTTAGAAATGATAATGGAAGCATGCGCGAAAAAAGCTCCAATGGTGGGACTCAGCCAGACAGCACCAGCACCAGCGCCAAGGAAGACACCATCTGCGGCTGTGATGCAGTGTACACCACTAAGCCAGCTGCAGTGTTTTCGCTGTGGATAATTGGGACATTTGGCAAGGGAGTGTCCAGCTCCCAGCCCTTGCCATGGGAACACAGGAAACAGCATGGGAGGAAGGGTTCTCCCACCCAATGACATCAGGGGGAATAAAGACCTAATAAACACAAAAAAAATCTAGGAGCACAGCGCAAACCTGTCCCGCGCGAAGCAACAAATGGGACAGGTCTTGCGGGGGGGTGGGGGGCACAAAATAATCGGATTTGGCCTATCAACCAGACGCGACACTTAACTAATATAAAGGACATCTTCTTCCGGTCCCAGCACTGGAGGGTAGTTGCTGTGGACCCACTGGATGAGACTTTGGTGGACTCTGGACTAGCCTGTAAGTACATTGCCATTGGGGACACTAAACACACACCCCCAGAGATTGAGATCTCTCCAATCACCTTTCCAGGGGGTCCGGAGAACCTCATTCTCTTGGTGTGCTGCACTCACCCACCCTTCTTTTTGGCAAAGGGCCAAATCATTGCACAAATCATACCTATCCCAGAAGAAAT